ATCAGAATTGATTTCTTTCGATATGCCATAGCATTTTAAAAATGATGGATTTTCACGACTAATTTAATCGATAAAAGCTTAAATCATTACAAAAAATTAACACCCATCGAAATTTCATTACGTTTTATGGAGTCACGAAAGGTATTATTAAAGATCTAGAATAAGCCGCAACTTGTAATTTTGACGAATTATGGCAGTTCGCAAAGTGTAACCTGCTTTTGTTCTAGCAACTTCATTTGAGGTTAGAAGCTTGTAATCACTTTATCAAATGAACAAAAATTCCCAATCGTGGTTTGCATAGATTTTATGCATTGAATTAAATTTAATTACAAGTTACAGCATTATATCCGCACTTTTAGATATTATATAATTTAGGAGTATTAATTCTATTTTACATAAAATAGACAATAGTGGTGTTTACTATATGATATTACATTATGCTGATGAAGGAAATCTACGAGAATATTTGCAAATAAATTTTACTAACCTACGATGGATAGATAAATTACATATTGCTAAAGAAATAGCAAATGGACTTAAATTCTTACATGCAAATGATATTGTTCATAAAGCCCTTGTAAGTACTATTGTATTTATGGTATAGCTAATTTACTTATTTTTATTTTATTTATTTAAATTATTATTATTTTTTTTTAGCATTCAAAAAATATTCTAATTCATCAGCAGAGACCAAAAATTACCGACTTTAGATTATCATGAAAAATAGATATACCAATGTCATCAAACTCTATGAACGGAATGCCAGAATACCTAGAACCTCAGTGCCTTATGAATCCTAAATACAAACGTAATAAAAAATCAGATAGCTATAGTCTTGGAGTAATTCTCTGGGAAATTTCAAGTGGAAACCCGCCTTTCCAAGGTTTTGAAACAATCGTTGCCCTTTGTTCTCATATATTTAAAGGAAACAGAGAAGAAGCTATACATGGTACACCAGATATATATATTGATCTCTACACAAAATGTTGGGACATGGAACCTACTAACCGTCCAGATGCAAATTCAATTTTCGATGTCTTAAATAATTTTATTCTTGACAATATTCAAAATGACTAAGTTTTCATGGATTCCATTCAAAGAATTTAAAAATCCTACAAAAATAGCAGAAGGTGGTTTTTCGACAATTTTCAAAACATCTTGGCTTAGAGGAAGAACACAATTAGATGTAGTATTAAAATTAATTCATAATTCCAGCGCTTATCCAAAAATGTTTATCAATGAGGTATTTTTAATTCTTATTTTTTACATTATATTAATAATTTTTTTTTTTTTTTACATTATTTTAATAATTTTTTTTTACATTATTTTAATAATTTTTTTTTTACATTATTTTAATAATTTTTTTTTTTACTTTACATTAATAATTTTTTTTTTACTTATGATATATTAATAATTTTTTGTTTAAGTTGAAGGCTTATTGTGAAATTAGTCGTGAAAATCCATCATTTTTAAAATGCTATGGCATATCGAAAGAAATCAATTCTGATGATTACATCATTGTGTTACATCGTGCGAAGTTGGGTTCCTTGCAAAAAAATCTTTACAACGTGTCGCGTATGACATGGAAGAAAAAATTAAACTTATTACGTTGTATAATTTCTGGCCTCAAAGCACTTCATCTTCAAGGATATATTCATAAGGATTTTCATAGTGGAAACATTTTACTAGATGATATGGATAGTGCATATGTTGCGGATTTAGCACTTTCAACATATGATGAAAGTAAAGTAATTTATGGTGTCTTACCTTATGTTGCCCCAGAGGTCTTGTCTGGTGGTGCATACACGCAGGCATTCGATATTTACAGTTTCGGTGTCATCATGGTAATGGTATCAACCGGACAAAAACCATTTTGCGATCAAAAATTTGATGAATCTCTTGCAGTAAGAATCGTCATGGGATTGAGACCAGAATTCGCACCAGGAACCCCTGTTTCCTACATCGAATTATCTAATCAATGCATGGATTCTGATCCATCAAATCGGCCTGATGCTGATGTTATTTTAAAGAAATTCAATCAGTGGATTGATTCAATAGAGATTGCAAAACAGTTTTTGGATGCTGACGAAATTATGCAAAAATAGGCCAAAAATCCACCACAATAGCTTCTACAGTAAAGTGGCCTACGCTAGCAAAATTGAACTACATCAAACATAGAAACTAATCGACACAGTAGAGCCTCCATTAGATGATTAAAATAAAAAATTTGAGGTGAAATATAAGATTTTGCGATGACAAAAGATAATTTTATTTAAAAATAAGACTATTTATTAAAAATTATAATTTTAAATTCTTAAAATTCTTGGGTAACTATTTATATCATGCAAAGCCTACAATAAATTTTTAAAGTCATAAATGTTCAAAATTATTTTTATTTTTTTTTATACATTTTTTTTGAATAAAAACCTAGCTTTTTTCAAATCCTTAATTTTCATCAACTTCTAATATTTCTCATCTAATGCATAATAGTAAAATCTCTCAAACTTATGCAAAAATTATATAAGACATTGAAATATGCGTTACTTCCTCAATTCAAGAATAATTTGCTATTTCGAACATAAAAGATCCAACGTAGGCCGTTTAAAGTTGATTATTTGTTAGGCTAAAATCATCTCCCTCTCGGCTAACTGTCCATGGAAATTAAACAAGCCGATCACAACACAACATAAACTTCATTAATTATTCTTGGGAATATATGTAGTTAGATAAATTCCCCCCCCCCGTCCAAAATATTGACGTTAACATAATAATCAGCCATATCTTGTTGTATAATCTATTAAGAATTCATTCCTTTTATTTGCAATAATAAATGTATTTATTGTACATCCAAGTTATTATGAAAATACTGTATTCTCCAAGTCAGCACATATTATTGCAAAATTTTTCTTTTTTATCAACATCAATTATGGATATGTATTAATTTAGGGAACCCTATTTCCATCATGTTTCTCACATGACTTTAGCTGTACATATATGATGAGCATTGTTACAGCTTTTTTCAAAAAGATGTGGAAAACGACTCATGTGGGAAATAGAAATTCTGCTCAGTAAAAATTAAGAATACGATTAGAGCGGGTTTGGAAACCTGGGAAATATCGCGAATTCTCCATGCTATAGTGATCTGCATCTTTCCACAAATTTTTGAAAATGGCTGTAAAATAAATTACAGTCAATGGTGGAAATAGTAAATTTCCATATAGAAATAGGCATTTTCTTAATTAATTATATTATTCACGATCTGATTTTAAGTGTATCTTATAGTTAATTTTTATGTAGGGATGTTATTTTAATTATTTGAACTCATGATCCTGTCCAAAACCTGAGCCAGTTTAATACCATTAACCAAATATGACAAGCTTATCATTACTATGCAAAAACAAAACAACTAAATTCAAAATATTACTTCTGTACTTATACATTAATTAAACCAAATTGATATCATACTAGATATGATATGCATCATTTTTTGTTTTATGTTGACTAACTTATTTCTTATCCATTTTTTTAAAAATTTACTGAATGAAATTTTCATGGAATCATCAATATCTTTTATGTGAATCTTTGAATGAAAACTTCTGATAAACTCAGTCTCATTTTTGCGTTCTTTCAAAAGAGAATAAATTTACTTATTTGTTATTCATATTATTTATTGCATTATGTAATAGGATAAAATCTACCAAAAGTATTATGAAATATTTTATATAAAAAATTTTTACACAAAATAAAATCTTTATAAAATAACAGAATTTGTTTAATATAAATTTATAATACAAAGTATTGTTTTATATATATATATATAATATGAACGTAATTAAAAAATCGAAATCCCTTAAAAAAAGATTTGAAATGTAAGAGATGTTATGAAATGTCAATCTATACTATTAATCAAACCTGGTTAGCGTTAAATAGTGACGAATCACAACTTTGTCAATTTTCTGGAATTTTAAAGTTAACAGAATCGGATGCTATATAATATAATAAATGTTAATATTAATGAAATAGCTTTAACAAAATAACTTAAATAGAGTATATAATCACCAATTTCATATATTGCGTTAAGTTGGTCGCTTCTTTCTTTATAATGTTTTTGAGCAATATCATGAGTACTAATAAACATGCTGGAGTATATAACATCAGGATGTTCTTTCAGAGTTACTGAAAGGTCTTTAATTCTCTTATCAGCAGCCATAAATTCACTAATAATTTTTAATTTTTCATCAAATTCATTAGATTCATCAAGATTATTATGCTTATCAGGTTTATCAGATTCATCAAGATTATCCAATTCATCAAGCTCATCAAATTCATTGCATTCATCATATTCATCATGTTTCAGAATATTGCCGCAGTGAAGATCACAATGAATGTATCCTGCATTATGAATTTTAATTAAATCCTTCGAAATATCGATTAATAGAGATAATTTAGTTTCCCAAAAAAGTTCTTCAAAATTCAATGTTAGATAATTATGAAGATTTCCTTTATTAGCATATTTTAATACCATCATATATTCTTCTGTTTTCGTATTTTGTGTTAGTCCATATACTATAAGCCTGCTGCCACTTATTCTACAACGCATATGATTACTAAACTAATAAAGCAAAAAAATTTGTGTACAGTTAGAATTACGTATTCGTATAAGCGACTAATAGTTTTAACTTACTTCTTTTAAGAAATTATTTGAGTCTTTTTTCGATCCAGGTAAAGTCTTAAGCGCAACCTTAATGGATTGTGGACGTTCCAATCAGCTAAAAATACGGTACCAAATCCTCCTTTACCAATTTCTTCTATTACATTTAATTTGTTAAACGGAATCCATTCAACTGCTTTCTCACGACTAATAGCATAAAGTTGAAATTTTTTAATGCAGTGGTCAATCTCTTCATCACCACTTGTCCATTCCTGAGTTATTTTATAAGATCACATGGCTGGCACCAGTTTATTGATGTATTAAATCGATTGCAATTCGTACATATATCATAATTGCATTTTCTTTTAGAAGCAAAAACATCAATATTTGTACTTTTGAATTAGTGTTTCGGGCGAAATATATTTTCAAAATCCGAAAGGCGAAACCGAAATGCTCTCAAAGGCGAAATAAATCCGAAATTTCCGATATGGACGAAAT